TAATTGATTTTTGTTTTAAAATACTGAAATTAAAATTAAAATACAAAGCCATTCTCATTCTTAGTGACAAAAAGGGATAAACTAAATTTTTAAAATGGTTTGAGTTTCGTTTTCTGTTTTAGCTAGCATAAAAGAAAATTACTTTTAGACAGAAACGAAAAAAGGCTTGTTTGTTCATAATCCATGTCAGGTCGTGCCAACTTACTGTCTCCCTACAATAATCTGTTTCACCACCAGAAGGGGTGTCTGCAATATCAAAGTTATTTAATAAACATCCCATTACAAGTAAAAAGCATTGATACTGACTTCGGTATCAAATAAATTTGCCAAGTATTTATTTGGTATCAGATCAATATCAAAGTCGTGGTACCGCCCACCCCTCACTGAAAGGAAAAATCGAAGGACGCAAACTGACAGGAAAAAAAACAAGCACAGATTTTGTCAAAACTTAGGAGTGAAAAATACTTTTTTTGCCACTTCAGTAGAAAGCAGAACTGAGTATCACTTTCTTAACTTCTTCATCATCAGTAACATTTTTCCCTTTTTTTCCTTTTTAAAAAAAGGAAAAAAAACCTTTGTGCTCACAGAACAACAATCGTCCAACACAACAATAGAATGAAATTTATCTTAATTTGCTTTTTACTGAGAAAAATGGAAATGAAACATGGAGGCAGTAGCTGACATGTATTCAGTAAAAGAGACTTATTTGGCCAAAAACCACATGAAGTATCTCTGCAGCCTTTGGTCACAGAGCGAGAGTCATCATACAACTCATTTATGGACATATTTCTCTGTGTTTCAGTCTCTTATTTACAGAAATCAGTGTTTCATTATGCAGAGCTGCCAGGTGAGCGCCCCCTCTGGTGGGGGAATAGATAGTCGTAGAATACAAATAAACAAGCCTTTTTTTCGTTTCTGTCTTAATGAAATTTTCTTTTTTTCTTTCCGAAACAGAAAATAAAACTCAAATCATTTTTATCCCCTTTTGACACAAAGAATGAGAMTGGCATTGTATTTTAATTTTAATTCCAGTATTTTTAAAACAAAAATCAAATATCCACTCGTTTCTTGTTTTTTAATACCCGTTTCTAAAATGAAAATCCAATGACCAAAAGATACACTGACCGTACATGGACCCCCTACATTCATATTCACAACACATGGACATGTAATTATGTCCTGGGAGGTTTGGCAGCTCAGTTTGGGATGAGAGGATGTGAACATGTTCAGACCCTCGGTGAGGACAGGAGGAGCTGTGGTGCTTCACCTGGGCTCAGAAAGACAGACCTGCCCTACTCTGCTCTGATTGGATAAAACTATGACTATGGCTCACGTTATTTGTTGAAAGCCACATCAGTTTACCTGTAATCCTGAATTATTCACCGCAACAAATTTAGGCTTTTATTTTTATTATTTTTACAGATGATGAAAATCAGTCATGTGAATAGAGAACTTCAATCCCCAAAAAACTTTCAAGGACTTACAAGGACAAGTGTAATTTTTGGCTGTTTTCCCAAACTTTCCAGGGCCTTGAAATCTTTTTTCAAATTCACAAACTATCAAGTATTTCAAGGACCCGTGGGAACCCTGTGGGGATAACTCTTAGCCACAACACCAAATCTTTGTTCAATACAGTTTCATTCAAATCTGTCTTATGATTCATGAGATAGTTTGGTAACAGACAAACGAACAAACACATGCACACATAGATATGAGTAAAGACACTGCTTGCCTTTGGCAATAATTCAAGATAAAACAGATGTGAATCTGTTTAGTGTGGTATGAGGGCCAAAATTAAGACTACTGCGTAACCAGTGGTCACTGCATCCTTGTAGCAGGAGGCTATTCCAAAGCTAGCTACTGTATTGATCTGATTAATGATAGGCCAGCACTGGCAAATGAGAGGGAGCCTATTCATTTGCATTAGCATCAGAGAGATAGCAACTAGCATGGATAAGCTGGTGTTAGGTCTGACTTCGCTGCAGCACCAAGACCACGCTTTTCACTAAAAAGTCTTAGTGATTGAAAGCAAGTGAGGTCAAGTTCTTATCTGTGTTCTGAAAATAAGTTAAGTGATTCATATTAAATCACTGAATTATACTAACATTCTATCCTGTCCACACCTCCTTTGTGGTAGCTGTGCCCGAGACCAAACATCCAAAGGACCTCAGCAGCTACAAGCCGGTGGCCCAGTGACATCACATCCAATGAAGGCCTTCGAGAGGCGGGTCCTCAACCATCTACGCCCCCTAGTGAGGTCTTCACTGGATCCGCTGCAGTTTGGCTATCAGCCTGGCATTGGGGTGGATGACGCCATCACCTACCTCCAGCACCGAGCTCTGACCCACCTGGAGCAGCCTGGAAGCACTGTGAGGATCATGTTCTTTGATTTCTCCTGTGCTTTCAACACCATCCAGCCAGGACTACTGAGGGACAAGCTGGAACTGTCTGGAGTGGACCACCGAATGTCCCAGTGGATCCTGGACTACCTAACTGGCTGCCCACAGTATGTGAGGACACAGGACTGTGTCTTGGACACACTGGTCTGCAGTACGGGGGCTCCACAGGGAAAGGTGCTGCACCGTTCCTCTTCACCCTCTACACTGCAGACTTCACCATCAATACCCCAAACTGCCACCTCCAGAAGTTCTCTGATGACTCTGCCATAGTCGGCCTCATCACAGGTGAGGACGACTCAGAGTGCAGACAGTGGACTCAGAGTACAGACAGTGGACTCAGAGTGCAGACAGTGGACTCAGAGTACAGACAGTGGGCTCAGAGTACAGACAGTGGGCTCAGAGTGCAGACAGTGGACTCAGAGTACAGACAGTGGACTCAGAGTACAGACAGTGGACTCAGGACTTTGTGGACTGGTGCCAGCAGAACCACTTCCTGATTAACGCTGCCAAAACCAAAGAGCTGGTGGTGGATTTCCGCAGGTGCAGACCCACCTCACTGACACAGGTGAGCATCCAGGGATTGGACATTGAGATAGTGGACTCTTATAAGTACCTGGGTGTTCACCTGAACAATAAACTGGACTGGACTCACAACACGGACGCTCTTTACAGGAAGGGTCAGAGCAGACTCAACCTGCTGAGGTCTTTTGGAGTGCAGGGGGCGCTCCTGAAGACATTTTATGAATCTGTGGTGGCATCAGCCATGTTTTATGGGGTGGTTAGCTGGAGCGGCAGCTTAATTGCAGCTGAGAGAAAGCGGTTAGATAAGCTCATCAGGAAGGCCAGCTTTGTGCTGGGATGTCCCCTCGACACAGTGCAGGTGGTGAGAGACAGAAGAACTCTGACTAAAATATCATTGACGAACAACGTCTCCCACCCCGTGCATGAAGCTGTGGTTGAACTGGAGAGCTCCTTCAGTGACAGACTGCTGCGTCCGAGGTGCACAAAGGAGCGTTATCACAGATCCTTCCTCCCAGCAGCTGTCAGACTCTATAACCAGCACCACACCCAAAAATCACAATAAGTGTTTACACACCTGCTGCTGCACAATTTGTATTGTTACTATTCATTGTAATTACTCATCTGAATAATCA